AAGTGTCTACGTGGAATTACAAACTCTTTCACTGGCCGAAGATTAGTGGCTATATGTAGATGGTAACACACCGGGTACAAGCAGACGACAGGCCTTGTATTTAATACAATTGCACGATGCACACTGACAACCATAGTTATCCTCTGTCTCATCGACTGTGAACTGGTCTTTTTATGCTCTTGCTAGTACGATGCTAGGGCCAATCTGCGTTTCGGTTCGATTCCTGAAATCACACCATGAAGCTGCGTAGTTAATATTCCGAAGCTGCCCTGCGCACATTGGTCAGATTTCTTGGCATTCACTTTCCCGGAAAAGTTGTACTGAAAAAAGGGCAAAAGCACAAAGTGCGTCCTTGCTAATGTTAAATGCTACTTTCGTGTAGGTTAGTTTGCTGGACTTTATGCAACATACTGTTTTCAGCACTGTTGTGCCAATGTTTTACTTTTTCATTCTGCATTATGGTTTTGATTTGTTTGTATTATAGGCGTACCCACCGCTGATTCCTGCGCTCTTCATACAAAACCCGTTTTACAGCCTTATTCTGAGTCAGATGAAGGCTGCTATAGGTTTGGTATCGAAAGTACTTCACGACTGGAATTTGAAAAGCTACCATCAGCGATCGATGCTAAGTATGCAGTTGACGCCACCCAGCCGTTTCACATTCGTTACCTATTTTCAGGGGAGAGTTCACTCTCGCCTTTCGCGCCAGTGCTTTCAGCGGCGTCCTCTTGTACGCGACGGATAGAAATCGTGATTTTATCATCTTATACATGAAGAACGGCAAACTGATCTTCAGTTTCGACAGCGGTTCCGGTGCCATTTCCCTCGAATCGAGAAGAAGTTTACTGGACTATCAGTGGCACCAGGTAATTTTGTCTAATTATTGTATCCTAAGCTGTACATTGATTGTTTTCAAATGCAACCTGATACACGCTTACACCCTACACACATGATGTGAACACTGCGCACGCTGTCGATGTGCATACATCCAGCAGGTCTAGTTGCCCTGTACATTAACCATTTTGGCACTGTTAAAGGTGTCACTCAAGTTTTTGGTTAAAGAGTGACTGATAGTGATTATTGCTTCTATGTCAATTTCGACATATATTCGTGAAACTTTATTGTGCAGTTCGTTTTCACTTTAGGTGAAAGTAAACAGAACCGGTCGTAAAGGTCAGCTTTGGGTGAATGACATTCTTGAAGCAGAAGGAGAATCACAAGGTGCTACGGATAGAGTGGAAACACTACGTCCGTTTTTCGTTGGTGGCCTTCCCGTTGAACTCTATCGTATCGCCGAGAAACAGAAAGTTGTAGATGAAGTATAATACTAGCACATTTGTTTAACTTTTACCAGCTTAATTTTTATTTTTCAGAGTGTAGCCCCGATTTTTGCGGGTTGCATCAAAAATCTAAGACTCAACGACGAGCCACTGGGCGATCCGTCAACCGCTGCTGGAACATCGTCTTGTAGTGAAGTGTCAGAAGAAGGCTTGTATTTTGGGGAAAATGCCGCTTACGCGATAGTTGATGAGAATTTTAATGTAAGATGCATCTTACTTTTGTTTGTAATATGGTGTGTTTTTGCAGGTTCTATGGAGTACGTCTCCTATAGTAACATTTTGCATTAATTGATGCCAGCATGATTTCTCTTTCTTCACGTTTTCAGTAGCGTATGAGAGTAACGAAATTTTCATACATTTTAACTTTACTATAGACGTCAGTACTGTGCGTGATTCCGTCCTACAGCATCAGTGTTTAGAGATGCCACGTGTCGACTGAGATTAAGAATATGACGATTTAAAATGTTGTAATATTGTGGTACTATAGTTGATTGAGCGCCAGAATCACAGATTTGAATTTCTGTTGCATACTCTTCCTCCTAGATAAGGAAATAAATATTAAAATGCTAACAGGAAAGAGGACACTACACTATGTAATGATCTGCAAGTTATAGATGCAGCCTAGTGTAACAGCAGGCACTTTTAGCTAATCAGGTAGAAATTTTGACAAGCGCAGCACAACATACTCTATGAAAGAACTACGCCACGATCATCTCTGATTTTTCAGTTTTTGGGGAGGAGGAAGTTACCCTCAGAAGTACGGAAAACTTAGTCATTATTTAGTTGAGCATGTTCATTTAGTTCCAATTTCCAAAAATAGCCTGTAAATTCACGTGGTGAATAAAACGTTCAGCACTTGCAGCTTCAATTCTTCAGTCGCCTGCGTTATGTTCGTCCTCTATCATTGAAAAGTGGCGGCAGCTACAGTATCGAAGCTGTAGTCTATAAACTATTGTCTTTCTTGGAACGTCGCTGACCTAAAAAAAATCTGTTACGAAGAACGACAGCTTCTTGGTACCAATGTTTAGTATCCATCAAAACAGAAGTCTCGGGACTTATTTTGATTCATTTCCATTGATATACTAGCATAACAATTCGAGATTTTCTACGTTTTCTGACGCTGCCCGTAAGCCCTATTGCTGGAAGTTTATGTAATTCTAGAGACTTCTTTAACGTTTTTTATTCGAAGGAAATCGACAAAGGTTTCACGTTCAGTATCGCGTTTTTCTCTCTAAGTTTGGTTCGAATTTCAATTCTACAATACATTTACGCCATGAGCAGCGTAAATCGGTCTATTTTTGTCGCGTATTGATCATCTTATGGTGTAATTTTTTAGAGTTTTGATACTGTTATAAATAGACGCTTTTCTTGGAGGGCTGTTTAATTTAGGTTGGGTCAACGTTCAGCTTTAACATGGAGATAAAATCCAGGGTGCGAAACTGTGTGCTTTTGGCTATCAGTTCTTACGATGGAGGAGACTTTCTAACGTTACAAGTTATTGATGGTGCGCTGATCTTCACCGTGAACAATGGCGCCGGTCCTGAACACGTTAAACTGAACCTGAAGCGAAAAAATCTCTTTTGCGATGGCCACTGGCACACAATTCGGGTACGCGCTAATTCATTTTCTACTTTTTTTGAAGCTCATACTGCTGCTAGCATGCTTCGGCATTTAGATATACAAAGTGAAGAACTTTCTGACAGTCGGCGTGGACAATGTTAACAGTCATACTCAAATGAAGAAACGCAAAGCTAGCACCACGGATACCAAGGATCCTTTGTACCTTGGTGGCGTACCTGGAAACTTTTCCAGTGCTGGGCTCCTCATTCAAGGTACATAAATTTTTATGCTTAGGGTAAAGCGATTTTTTAATGCATTAAATGTATCAAAACAGATCACTCAGACACTGTGTTCCTGGATTTCTCTTCGGTCAGTCCTTTAGCTCTGTGAATGGCATCGATATAAATAAAAAATTACCGAGTTTTGGTTTGTTACTGAAAGATCCTCTGAACGCATTGAATACTAAAAGCTATTTGCGCTATGAATGCACGAGATCGTACAAAGCGAATGGCAGGTAAAGCGTCACCGATTCATTCGTCAGAGACACTGAATAATAAACTGACCCCGTCATTCAATGCTTCAGAATTCAAGATACTTCGCGACATAATGCATAAGAAAGAAATCATGAATTGTCCATGGTACTTCGCTGCTCTAAACCATCAGTTGAAGAGGTTTTATATGGAGTAATTATTCTTAAAGACAAGAAATGATTTATCCCATTATTAATGATTAGATTTTGTTCGAGTTTTTTGAAACCTATTCAGGGCAAGAATTTTTTCATTGAAGAAACAACAAAAATGTTTTTCTTTGCGAAAATAGGTTTCAAAACATTGCTACGATTGAATATTGGCTTTTATACTATAGTCTGTACTCTCGGTTTTATTATCTCATTTATATCGCTCAAATTAGGGTAAAATATGCCTGATAATATGCAACTTATTTTCCAGTAACAACAACAGTCCTATTTTACAGTTTTAGGATAGAAGCTGTACGACTTCTCTAGCTCTTGTTGTAAAACTTGAAGAAATGTTTGAAGCTGCGTTGAGCTCGAAGTTTGTAAAATATGAGTGCCGTCCATACATTTATAGCTAATGAGTGGCTTATGGTAAAAGAAAATATGAAATGGACCCGGTTTCAAGAACGTTCAGGAAACGCACAGGCAAATTCTTTTTGAATTCGGATCTGTTGATTTAAAGTTCCATATATAAACATTTGTATATCAGTTAGTACACACTGTATTATCTTCTGCATTTAGATCACTTCATCGGCTGCATTCGATCGATTTCATTAGGAAGAAAAGTTCGTCGAAGAAAGAACATAATGATTAATGAAATACAGGTGATTGGAGATATATCCAAGGATGGTTGTCCAGTTGATTAGATGTACGTGACCGTTGGATTAGCTTCTTTGACAATGCTTCAAACGTGTATGACATGATAGCTTTGAATGCAAAAGCCATTTTCATTTAATTTCTTTAATACCTAAGCTGATTGTCGGCTGTCGACTTTTTTTATTAGGCCGTTATGTTAGGTCGAAATGAATTTTAGCAGTTGAAGTAAATAGGCATATTGCTCGGACATGTGTGTAGAGTATTTTCAAGTTACACATTGACGTCGTCCAAAAATATTTTCGCTGGAATCAGCCCACTGATGACAGTGAAAGCATGGTATTGATTCGCTTTGGGATAGTGGCGACTAAAGCATTTTTTAACAGTGCACAACTGGGTTTTGCAAACTTAGCTGTGTTGGACAATTTCATTGCAATTGATTTTGCCGTGAATTATGATAATGTATCATACAGACCTTGTTGGCCATTTCTAAATTGTTTGGTGTATGGAGTTAATTTTTATCAACTTCGTTTCTTCATTTCTTCTGAGACCATTCTGCTATGTATTATTGCCATTTTCTTTACGCACGCAGCTGCCCTTCTATATTGATGCTACAGAAAAAAAATAATCAGGTAACTCAACAATGCAATGGCAAATGCAGCAGAAATCCTTAAGTTCGCTCCGATACAATAGTTATCGATACGTTACAGCGGAAACAATGGCGTGAATTTCCCATTCACTATCAGTTGTGTCCTTCATAGTCTACCAAAGCTACCTAAAATAGCTCTACCACCGACGGGATAGTGGAACAAGTGTAGGGCAAAGTTTTGAAGAAAAAGCATGAATATTTGAACTATCCGTAAGTGTTCTGTATCTGATCCAGAAAATGAATCTCTTATCGACGTAAACTTTGGACTAAATGTCCCGGTTATCTGCTTCATTGGTTGTCAGAGTTCAGTCGCTATGTGACTGCAATCAAAAATTAGCCCATACAGCATTATTTATTTGATTAACTGGTACTTAGAATAATAGAGACTATTACCTGAATCAGAAACTTGAAGTTTAGATATTCCAGCAGCCTAGTAAGAACAGCTAGAACCCTCTTTCAATTCTGCATAAGTCTGATTCAGTGAACCTTCAAGGAATAATGTATTAAATCTATGCAAGGAATGAAAGCCACGTCGAAAGTTATTCGTAATGAAAACGATGGAGAGTTAAAACAGCAGTGGCGTATATTCAAAATGATGTTTCGAAAATGTTTATAATCCGTTATTCGAAACCAGTGCCTAGATACTCTTGAAACGTTTTAAGAAATATCGCTACTACTTTGATATCGATCCACGCTATTTTGTCTCTGTCGTCAACATATTGAATACAGTTTTTATATATAACTGTTGTAAGTTCCAACTTTGCAGTTAATGGTTACATTTTTGAATCTTTTCTGATCAACTGTTCAAGATTTTTGACGACACTTGTGTGACATTTAGTTTTTATCCATGATAAGTACTTGTTTAAATAGGCATCGAGGAGTAATGTAAATGAGAATAGAAGAGAGTCCTGTCTCTGGCTCCGAGAATAGAAGAGAGTCCTATCTACATACATCGGAGCACATCGCTTCCGGTAATCCGGCCATGTCTAAAACGGTCGTGTGTTTGGGGCTGAAACTGTTACTGCATCACTCGGTTTTTCAGACTCTTTCCACCGGCTGATATGATGACAGGAGGGACATCGCACATTCTTGAAGAGCTTGGAGCTGTGAGTTTCCTGAATTAGTATTAATAATTAATATTCTCACTTTTCTACTCCGTGCTGCGACCTACGGTTCTCCAACACTAAAATATAAACTTCTCTATATGGTGCATCGACGCCATTGCAAGTCGGAACCCTAACCAATCTTCATAAGGCAGTCAAATGGATCTAAGAGACAATGTGAACTCACCTGAATATTAATACCTCTATATGGAAGAATAGATCGTCGCTGATCATGTGACGAATGCGTGCTCGCGACTGCATTAGGAAGAAAGAGAAGCAAGCCGAAAAAATCATCTTCAGAACATGCATAGGTGGAGGGTTAAACTGTATAGAAACTCGTACTCGAAAGTCCAGGAACTGCAGAATGGTAACCAAATGATCGCACTTAAAAGAGATATGGCATCTGCATAAAAATCGGCGTGGAAAGAAGAATAAACATCAAGAATAATTACTGCCCTTTTCACAAGGAATAGCACTAGCCTCCACAATACGAACTGACGGTAGAACTTAAGCGGGACAGAATTTAGCATTGTTAAGAATCATAATCCACTGGCAATCTAGGAAGATAATTTGAAAAGGGAAATTGGAGAACACGGAAGGTAAGAGAAGTTGAGAAAGCGGACAAACAAACAACAAAATCAATAAATGGGAAAGACGTAATTATTCTATCCTAGTTTCCATTGCTGCATCATTAGCGTTCCAATGCCCAACTTTGTACATTATTTGTTGTTCCCCTTGTGCGTTACCTTAAACAAAATAAAATGTCCACTGTATATCTTGACAAAACTACGCATGCCTCTGAACTCAAGCGATTAATCCGGTTTCAATAAGGATTGTAATTCAAACGGGAGAAGCAATGCACCAAGCCGGGCCAATTCTGCAAGTGGTACACCACCATGATATGCAGAATCGTTGCGAACCTACCTAGAATTGTACACGTCAATCCGTTTTTCGATGAATAAATGCATCAAACGCATTTAGATTACCAAATTATGCATGATATTTAAGTTCAGACCAGTGCCTCGTTCCATGTTAAACTTTTTAGTAGGTTATACTTCATATTTTAATAAGTATTACGGACAGTTTCCCAAGATTAACATCTGATTTGTTAGTGTATCCCCTGTTATTTGCAGATACATTTTTAAATCAATGCTGGTAAGTGACGATGTTCTTCATGGTACGTTGGTTGCGTCTAAGCGTTAAGATATGCGTAAATTTTTATTTTAATATAGTCGAAGCAGGATTATTAAAGCATCCTAGCCATAACTACAAAACTATGGACAACACAATCTCATGCATTCTAGCAAAGGTTAACCATCCTTCAACTACATTTCCACATATTTCTAAAAGGGACAGAAGCAATCACGGTGAAAGATGCCGTGAAGAAACAACTTGCGACGAATGGCCTGATTAACAAATTACTAGATGGGATAAAGAAGGATAAACGGCCAGAAAAAATTGCATTGCCGAAAGGAAGACAAACCCACGATTCAGAAAAAATGACACGTTACCTCATTCCCCGAAATGATAGTAATACGCGAAAGTCAAGACAAATTCCTTCCAATCAAAATCATCTTCCATGACTAATTCCCCATTCGGGTTGCGGAGGCAGATGGGTCAGACAGTGCTTTCAACGTTCCCAATTCTGTGGCAGAGTCTGAGCGTCGGCAGCAGACAACCGAAATCTCGAGCAGACTCTTTCCATATATTTGCACCAGATTAATCTTGGACGTGACCTGGGCTTTCTGCCTTTCGGTTGGGCAGGAAGCAACTGCTTCGCTCCGTGGAGGCATTTGCAACACGTGCCCAAACAAGCACAGACATGACTT